TTTTCGAGAAATTGATTGTCAAAATTGATTCCTGGTTTGTCTAAAATATGCAGGTTTATTTAAGAAAAATCCATACGTCAAATTTAGGTTAAATTCACGAAATGGACAGCAACCTTGATCGCAGCCTAAATGTGGGGAGTTGACAGCTGTAGTATACTCCTAGTCCCACCATCGAATGGCATTTGCTAGATAAGATAAAGTTGCGACATAATTAAACAAATAAGCTCTGCAAACAACGCTTTTTGAAAACAATTTTATTAATATGTTACTGGAAAAATGCAACGATTAAAAAGGAGGACATTTTGGGGCAAAAGGAGGACGTAGAAAAATTATTGAAAAAGGAGGACATGTCCTCCTTTAGGATACCATATGGTAACCCTAGATTTGGAATCGTTTAAGTATTGTGGAGCGAAAATTTCAAAATTTGCATCACTCTACTGAATATACACCCAAGGCGAATTATTCCCACTTCTCTCAAATTCTATATGGATTTTTAACACTTCCTACCAGCGTGTTCTGGGAAATGGTCGGACGATGATTAATCTCACCAATACATTCGAGCCTACAATTCCATACCTTCACAGATAAAAATTCTGAATTTTAATTGTGATGCAAACATTCATTCACGTAGACTTGTATTTCATTTCACGCACCCGAGCAACTTGCAAACAATGTTGTTTACAAAGATGCGCCTTTGTTTGCAATATTTGCTACATTGCATGAAATGTGTCAGAATTTAACACGATATGTAATGTAAACGTATATGATATGTGACGCTCCATTTATGTGCATCATATTGAACAGAAATTTACACTACTTTTTCGAACTGTGTTGTATAGATACCAGGTTGAGCCTTGATAGCTAGCTGCTTGCGGGAACTGATGACCTTGACCAATGTCCAAACAATACTCTTTAACACATTTTGGTGGCCCTGAAAAGGACCGTTTTGTAGTGATGGTTCAGTAATTCTGAGCTGGGTGTTCAACATGGATGAGGCTGTCGAGTTGTATGTCGTTTGGAGCGAGGGTTAGAGCTACTGATTCCGATTCATAGCATAGCGGTGCAGCTTCTTCCTCCTTTGATGGTTGCTTATGTGGCTCTGCAGCTCGCTGCTTGCAGGCAGCCTTTCGTTGTTACTGGAGAACAATTTTCAACGCCACACGCCGCAAGCACTGCCACTGCTGCTACTAATTTCGACGACCGAACACCACCACACAGTGGTGTGGTCGTTGGCAGCGTGTGGTTCTGAGTATGGCGATGAGTGTGCAAAATATTACACAATTCCATCCTCCCTATTCGCACGCGCCCGAGGATCGGAGGCGAATGCCACTTCGACTTGTTTCGTCTACTTACTACTCTCTAAAGACTGTGCTGGGGAAGCAGCATATGCATGTAGGTAATTGGTGGATTTGTTAGTTAAATCGACGTTTTTTAACAATGCTGGACATTTACCAGTTTTTCAATAGTTTCTTGTTGAAAATCAACATTCGGAAGCATTGTTATCGATGCGTAGCCATATTTCTAATCGATTGGTGATAAAATTATTGAAATTGGACCAGGGGCAGCTGAAATATTAACGTTCAAAATCTTTCTTAATTTGTTACATGTTCCATTTTCGGTTTTCACAAAGTGTGCCCCCATATAGAAATCAAAGACGTAGTCCTACGTCAATAGGTATTCCAGAGCATCGTTTTGCAAAAAATGACCACTATAACCATAGAGGTAACTCTAAGACTAGTAGGTCCCGAAGAAAATCATTATTATTTTTGGCTCACTCAGTACCAGAACAACGGTCCCAAGCAGTCCCAAGCTATTTCACTCACCCCTGCATGTTCTGCATGAATCCACACACCCCTGATGTTATCTGTCAAACTTTCATAGCGAATCAAAACAAACATAGTGTAGTAATAGAATTTCAACTAGAATAGGGTACGTTAATCGTTTGCTTGGGACCAATAGGCTACTAAAGTGGTGAGCCAATTTAAAATCGTTAGTTTCGTATTGATTGTTGCTATAACTTCATTTTTTAGTCCCCTGACGACAATAATTCTTCGATACAATCGATGTAAATATTTACATTAATTGACAAATCTCTGGTAATCATGACAGCAGTTGGTATCTTTTCTTCATTCATATTGTTTTCAATAATCAAACGTCATGATTACCTGGGTTTTGTCAAAAAAGGTAAATATTTACGTTGTTTGTACCAAATAATAGGTAAAGAAGTCCGGAGTGATTTGAAATTTAGGCGTAATTGCATTTGTAAACAGACACGTCAATCACCGATTTCTCGCGAAGAAAAGCTCAATCTCGAAAAGTAATAACACTATGAGGTAGAGGAATGATTCCTCTAGCATTCGGTACAGTTTGTTTGTGAGATTGAGCTTTTATTCAAGAGAAATCAGTAATTGACGGTAATAAGGGGCCTCATAGCCTAGTCAGTAAAGGCACGGTCTTACCAAGCCGGAGGCGGCGGGTTCGATTCCCGGTCCGGTCGAGGGAATCTTTCGGGTTGGAAATTTTCTCGACTTCCCTGGGCATAGAGTATCATTGTGCCCGCACAATATACAAATTCATGCATTGGTATTGGCATCGAAAGCTCTCAATTAATAACTGTGGAAGTGCATTTAGAACACTAAGTTGAGAGCACGCAATAAGCAATAATATGCACTAAGCAATAAGCTTGAAATGCGAATAAGAAGAAGAAGACAGTAATTGACGTGTTTGTTTACAAAAGCAATTACGCCCAAATCTCAAATCACTCCGGAAGTGCTGAAGCCGTATTTTTCCCTATACTGCATATAATCCCATATTAGTCCCATATGGAAAAAGTAGGCATTGAGAAAATGATAGATGAAGTCACGAAGTGCAATTCCCACGTAAATATTTAAAAAATCATAGTTAATTGATTGGTAATTTCTTCAAGTTAAAATCAGTTGCATTGTTGCTTGCATGTTTTGTTATATCAGCGAAAAATATGGCAATTCGAAAAACAGAACTTGAACTTATGGATGCGTGAATTCCGGGATGAGACTGATAAGCTATTATTTTGCTTGATGGGACAAACTGATTTGATGTTGTTTTCGCATTTTTCAGGATCAACCCGTAGTTTTATGACATAATATAAAAGTAGATGCCAATTGATAGTGGATAGCGTTGTTATCTCAAAATTGACGAAAATCCATATGGGACTGATATGCGATCATAGGTAGTATAAACTTAATAGAATGCCCATGCTTCAGATTAACAAATCGCAGTCATGCGGGCACGAGGGGCACGCTCTTCCAGGTATGAGTGTGTGATATTTAAAATACATCGTTGTAATTTAAATACTTTGAAGACAGTAATGAATTTAAATACTTGTATCGCGATTGAAAGTGATCAACAAATAATTAACGATAATTTATGTAATGAAAAATAATTTAAATGTATTAAAAATAATTCAAATTTAAAATTTGGACATTAATTAAATTATTTAATGAAATTAAGACTGTATTTAAAGTAATGAATGCAGTACAAGCAAGATTTTAAATATATGGTCAGCACGCTGTGTAGTATTGAAAGACTAGTGCGTGCCCCTTGTGTGGGCACCTATTTGGATAATTTCATCTTCAAATCATATATACATTCTTTTTAACGAATCTGTTTAGGGGCTGTTCATTAACTACGTAGACAGTTTTTTTCTTCGGATTATTGACCCCCCCCCCCTGCGTAGACAATTGTCCACACGCACAAAATAATTTTATAGGGGTCGTGGATAATTGCCGACCCCCCCCCCAACTGTGTACGTAGTTTATGGAAAGCCTCTCACTCTTTTTTTGGTCCTAAGGTACTGAAAAATGGCCAGAATGTGTCCAGGATGCTCGTAGTGGTTATCACAGACTGGCTCGAAATTCTACCACACCAGATAATACGATGGTGTTAAAAACACTTAATTTTCAATTTTCGTCGATGAAATATTTTCAGACCTTCTGCATCTTTTATTTAAACCTATTACCTAACTTTTGACTTTTTCTTGGACTTGGACGGTCGCTGGTGTCTTGATACGAATTAAGGGTGCGGCTGAGAGGTAATCTTCTTAGATTTCCTAAGCACCAAACAGCAGCCACCCTTACAGGCGGGCGGTACCCTTAAGGCTCGCACTTCCGCATTCGATACGTTGCTTTAAATCTGACAGTCAAAAGCTGTTATTTCGCCACAAAATATCAAGTACCGATGCATTGGGCCTGAATACTGAATGCTTGGAAGTCATAAAATGTATGGTCATAGACTTATTATATAGGAATTTAGTTCCCAACTGTGAAAGTGCTCAAAGAACACGTTAGTTGAGGGCAAGCCTATAAAGTTCTAATCAGGAATCAGAACGAAAAAGTAGTCGGTTCTTCATAACTTTTCCTTGTAATATCCCGATTCCGTTATTTCTGTCAATTCCATCATTTTGACTAACATTTTATCTTAGAACCTGCTGAACGGTACAACGGTTCATCAAACATGAGATCATTTCTCAAGATAACGCTCGCACTGATTCATTCAACAGTTTTTAAACTGACGCGACATACGACAGTTGAATAGATTTTTTTTCCTCCTAAGTTTCTCATTTGCAACCGACCAGAAGACCCGAGACTAGCGGGCAGGTCATGCATCATTTGGTTATTCCATTAATTGACTACCGCTGAAGGTAGGTTAGGCTTTCGTGGGGGAACGTACGCAAGCCACTGAACCATGTCAAATTTCGCAGAACTTTTATGCGAACGAAAAACGCACATCTTAAGCGTACCTTACGATATTGAATGTGATTTTTTTTTTTCAATTCGCGCATCCGAAGAAAGAAGATGAAGATTATTATACGAATATTTTACGCTCTGTTGGATTCTTTGGATTTTTTCTAGGACAGTATGGTACAGTACTTTGGTTCTTGTCCATAAGAGGGCAAAGTCCTCCAAAGAGGGATACAATGTAGTGAGTTGGGAGTGTTTCTTCAAAGTTCAAAACGTTCTGCGTTTCTAACCAACGATTTTATTAACTATTTCGCTCTGAATAGTATTCCTACTCGATTCGACTTAGCAAATCTCCTCCTGAGCTAACCGCTTGGTTAGCTTCAGTTCGGGTAACAGTTTTTTCCTGCTGATTCGTTCCTTTCCTCGCATGAATGGTCGGAGCGGTTCTGGAATCGTTATGGTGTAGTCTGGGTTTTGGAAGTTTTCCAGCAGGGCTATCAACATCCGTGGAATGGCACATGCAGTTCCGTTGACCGTGTGGGCGTAGTCGAGCCGCTCGTTGTCGGTTTTCGACCGGTAGCGAATTCCTAATCGCCTTGCTTGAAAATCAGAGCAGTCACTGCAACTGGAAATTTCCCCATACATGCTTCGCCCGGGCATCCACGCTTCGATGTCGTACTTTCGATACGCGGGAGCTCCCAGCTCACAAGCAGGCATATCCAACAGTTGGAAATGCAACCCCAGGGCATCAAATAGACCCACCTCAATATCTCTAAACTCTTCTAGAATTGCTTCCGATTGGTCCGGCCGGCAGACGGAAAACATTTCCACTTTTGTAAACTGGTGTACCCTATAGATTCCCTTCTCTTCCTGTAGGGCAGATGTCTCGGCTCGGAAACAACGACTCACGGCTGTGAGTTTCAAAGGAAGCTGATCTTCATCGGTTATCGTACCTGCAAAGTATCCAGCCAAAGCCATTTCCGATGTCCCAGAAAGGCACAATGTTTCGTGTGGATTGTTCAGCTTATAAACCTGGTTTCGCTCTCCGTGAGTATTCATACCACAGCTCTCAATAATCCTCGCTGGCAGAATATCCGGAACTGTGATCAGTTTGAATTTATTCGCGATCAGTTTTGTAACGGCATACTGAATGAGAGCTTGTTCCTGTAATATCAACCAATAATTGCACACCACAATCCTTGCAATTTAATGTATTCTTAATAATCTTACCAATTCCACCAAATCACCAGTAAGGTAGTACGATTTGTGTCCCGTGAAATTGCCAAGCTTCTCCATTCGAAAGACGTTCAACTTTTTAGCCATTTCGGAAAATTCAAACACTTTTCTACCCTCAAAGTTGGGCTTGTCATTGTAGTACCGCACCACCTTGGGTTGTGTTCCGTGTGCCAGCACATCCGGATGAGTTTTGTTGGGTATCTTTCGGAGTTCTTCTTGCAGTTGATTATTCAAACGATTTCGTTCGCTATCATTGCCTGATGGTAGGGATTTTAATCGGTTGCTTAACTGATGAACCAAGTGAATATTTCCCACCCCCTTACGATGCTCGATGTTTGCTTCAATTTGCGGAGCATTTGTTGGATTTAGTAGGTAATCTGTGTCGTAATTAGGTTGTTCCAGGTGAAATTTGTGATGAACACACCGAGTTGAAGTCAGTAGATCAGCTGGAATTGACACCTTTTTTAGGAACCATGATCGATTTTTCAAGATGAGCATTTTTTATGATTAGCACATGTATCACTCAATTTTTTATTCTGTAATTTTGTCAGATTATTCTTTATATAACATGTTAAACAATTTAGACGAATTTCGTTATTTTTTCGTAGCCCCGGCGTTGGTGAAGTGTAAAAAAGTAAACAATAAAATAAACTCGAACACCAGAAACGTCAGATGCTATATTGGGCGATGTTCTGTGTTTTATTCCCGCAACTGAAAATAGTTTTATGTCGACCACTACACCGAAAATAGAGGATTTTTTTTTTAACTTTGTTAAAGAGATTTAATAAAGTTTTAAAAAAATCCTCTATTTTCGGTGTAGTGGTCGACATAAAACTATTTTCAGTTGCGTAGAGGAGTGCACCTCGGAGTGCACATGAATTTTTTGTTTACCCACTCGATAAAAAGTGACACAAGCTGCGGGTAATGTTCTCTAAAAATTAACCCTATGGCGGTAAGCTACAACCGGTATTATTCTCAGATTAAATCCTGATAAAGAATGTCCGGCTGCTTTGATGTCGACACCAGAGTCAATCAACACGACTCTAGCAAACGTTTTTTTATATCATCCAAACAAGGTTAACAACAGTCGGTAAAGACGCAACTACAAACCAGGACCCTCCCGGTCCGATGACTTCTCTGCTGGGCATTATTCATCAACGTAATTCAAGCTGATGTATGAAATAATGATGCAAAAAATAGCTACAATATTACATCAATGGATGTAATTTTGTTCGCAAAATCGATGTACATCATACAACGTAATATTACACACCCTGCGGAATGACTTCTGTGCAGCTGTTTGGATGTTATTTTGCGCATTTCACACCAAGTTGGACTAAGAAGCGCCTATTTTATAATTAAAAAGTGTGATAAAAGCAAGGTTGCAAAGACTCATTTCAGCTAAAATAATGTTTTTCGAAATAATAAAACCAAAAGATGGTATGATGGCATGTTTTACTTGTAACTTACAAGAAGAGGTTACAAAGTATGCGTTGGAAACATAAAACCTGTAAATTTTGCTTTCTATGAGTCACAATCAGCGATTTGCTGATCGCTGAGTGAGTGAGTGAGTGAGTTTGTGAAAAATCGCTGATTGTGACTCTCATGAAGTGAAATAAACAGGTTTAATATGTCAAACACATTCTTTGCAACCTCTTCTTGTATCCTACCAATTCAAAATTTGATTATGGCATCTAATTATTTCATAATTTAGAAAAACATTGTTTTAGCTGAAATGAGTCTTTGCAACCTTGGATAAAAGTGCCTTGGGTGCACTTATTCCTTATGAAGCAAACAACAAGTGCCCTGAAGACCTGAAGATAATTTAACCTACATGTGCGCTTTTATCACACTTTTTGATTTTTGAGTAGTCCAATTTTCGATGCAAGCAAATCAAGCTGAACATTGCATTAGGTCCTAAGTAACATTTATCGATTCTCTTCGTCGACTTTATCTTCGTTAATAACTTGAACACATAACTGTTTCTTGTTGTGTTTGTCGTATTACGTGCTAGATAAAAGCTTCTTTTATCAATCTGTGTGCTGAAAATACCTGGGAATGTCTTAATATGGCCGTGGGGATACAAAGAGAAAGTCGACGAAGATAATCTGTTAATGTTACTTAAGACCTAATGCAATGTTCAGCTTGTCAATTGATATCAGAACCATTTACCCACAATCTGGGTAGATCCAACTCATTGCAATAAAACCAGTTTACTCATTTTTTGACAACTCCATACACATGCAAAAATGAGTGCGATCTACCCAGTCACTGAGTAGCCCACAAATAGCGTGCACAGGAAAAAAAAGTTGTTGAATATATTTAATATATTCAACAACTTTTTTTTCCTGTGCACGCTATTTGTGGGCTACTCAGTGACTGGGTAGATCGCACTCATTTTTGCATGTGTATGGAGTTGTCAAAAAATGAGTAAACTGGTTTTATTGCAATGAGTTGGATCTACCCAGATTGTGGGTAAATGGTTCTGATATCAATTTTTCCTAAGTTCCTAAGCCCTTTGCGCAGTGAGTTTAAAATTAGTTTTTAGAAGTGAAACAGTGAAAATGGAGCAGCTACGTAATAAAATGGATGGTGGAAGCTATCAGTCGCTAGTTGGTTACGTATACAACTCTAACAAATAGTTCGTTGGTATCAATAAATACAGAATTATCATTTTCACAATATTTTTTAATATTCTTCCTGGACGAAACAAATTATTAATAAAGCATTCATGGGGCATTCATTCGTTTCTACCGATATGGGTAAGGTTTACTCAGTTGACAAATGTCATAATCTGAGTAACCGTTACCCAGTTTCCTCCATACACTGAACGAATTTGACATATTCCTGTTATGTGGAAGTCTAATAAATTTGCGCTATAAGATAATCCATTGAAAATGATATGATTGAAAATGTGTCAGGTAAATTCTATATGAATATCTGATACATTTACAATGCTGATAATTTGGTAACTTTTATATGATCGTCATATGATAAATGAAAATCGATCAAATTATAATAATTAACTGAAATGGATTTGAAACCCATAAGCATAAGCTATACTTTTCACCACAATATAATATATGTGTCATAAATCAATCGAAGTAAAGTTTATGTGAAAATAACATGAAATTTACTTCTTCTTTTGACACATATATTTAATCGATTTCTAAAAATAAATTCGAAAAATAAACATCAGGCAGTGGGAGCTTTCACAGTTGTGCCTTTTTTTTTATTGTAGCTGATTTGGGATTCGATCAAGATCTGTTGAGGTGTGATGCTTTCGGTGTCTGTACTCGATTCCACTGGGCCACGGCTGACTTCAAGATTGAGCTCGTTCAAATAGCATGAAGTAAGAACAGCTCTCCCGACATGGAATGTAGTGCAACTTTATGCTCGTTTTGCTAGAGTGAAGACAAATAGCACTGACAAATTTATGTTCCGTTTCAGTGGTGTGGTTTGTTCAAATCTTTCTTAATGCACCTGTGTGCAATAAATCAACGACTAAATTATATGATTTGATAGAACTGGCTCATGAAGTTCGAAGGCTTACAATTAGAATCATAGCAAAGTAAATATTACAGTAGAATCATTTTTTTTTCAATCTCAATACATTCTTTTCTGGAACCAATTATCATATGAAACAATAACAAACAAAGATTATTCAATACAGTATCATTGTTGTTAGTAGTATTTAGTTCAACTAATCATTTTAATGAGTGTACGTTAACATCGTTGAAAATTGTTTCAATAATTTATAAAGAACAATCATGTAAGATGTATTTTATTGGGAGCGATATTCATCCCAGAAAAACATGCAAAAACAAATGCTTGCTGTTGGATTTCTTAAAAGGCATTTCTATATGACTATTTAATGATTGGGATAGATCTGTTTACAATCTTTAAACGTCAAAAATCAAAGCAAGCTATTACAATGAGATATACATGTTTTCCTATACTGCAAAGTTAAATGACAGTCCAATAGTTTCTACATGTCTATTTACACGTGACATATCAACAAACGTCAAAAATCAGTAAAAGCAACTCCAATAAAATATACATGATTATCTTATAAGATATATATTTTAGTGAGCAATATTCATCATGAAAACAGGTATATTTTACTGAATTTTCTTATAGTGCAAACTTATATGATTTTCCATTAGTTTCTAGATGTCTGTTCCCACCCATGACATATTAACAGTTTTTCACCATGAAATATATCAGACAATATTCATATACTTCTTACCTTCGCTAACCACGTTCGAAGCAAAGTATTATCAAGTACTAAGTATGTGAAATTACGATAGAAATCATTCCATATCGCAGTCATAGTTTTTAAGTGATAATCCAATGGAATCTATCAATCATCACATAGAATGAATAAATCTGCTGACATTGCTATGTTATAAGATGGATCCAATAAACGGTACATGTCGATTTGTTTCAGTGTAGGCTCGTTTACTCAAATTTGAGTAAAATCATGTTTACTCATTTTTGGGTAACTTCTCTTTAGGATGGACTGAGTGATTTTCGACGCAAAAATCAGTAACCATAAAATAGCGTGTGTATGAGCAAATATATAAGAGGGGTTAAAAGGAAAAGGGTGTAAGTGACTTTGATCGATTCTCTTCATCGCCTTTCTCTTTTGATATAGCTTGATATAGATTTTGCGTTATTTCTGCCACATATTTTGATGAAGGAGTTTCTCATCTAGCATCGAGAATGGCACACGAATCAAGGAATGTGTTTGCAGCTGAATTATTAACGAAACAGAAAATCGATGAAGAGAATCGATCAAAGTCACTTACACCCCTTTCCTTCTAACCCCTTTAGAATCTGTCAATGTTTATTCTGTGTACAGTATTTTGCATCGAACGTTACCGAAACTCAGTTTGTACTTACTGAATGTCGGTTATTCGTCGATTGTAACTGGATTTTCAGTAAAAGTTTTGTTTTACGGTTCAATCCCCGTTACAAAAATAACGAGATATTTTATATAGATTGCTGAGATAATTTGCCGATCATTGTACTATTGAACATTTCTTTTACAATGCTTGTTTCATGAGTTATGAATTTCCAAAGTATGTGTTGTCCGGGAAATCAACCCGGGGGCAACTTGACAACTAAAGTATATTGCCAGTGTACCACCGATGAACCGACGTGACAGCTAATACAAGCTATTTTTGAATTCGTGCCCAAGACGCCATATTTAAAATACGTTAAACACTACCGACATCTACTCATCCGATCCCGTCATACCATGAGCAAGGACACGAACCCACGTATAATTTATATTGCCTTGGTTTGCGTCTCACTTCGTTTGAGAGATCTGATCGCCCGTTTGAAAGTTCGAATCGCTCGTTTGACAATTTGAATTGTGGACAAACGAAATGCTCCTGTGGCATGTCGGTTCGTCGGTGAATCTACCCCGACAATTTGGTGCTGGTGGTTCTGTCAAACTCACAAGTTTCAGAAGGGCTATCGAAACAAATGATAATTGAGCGAGGATACTATCGGTGATTTCGACGCTATTACCAACCGGTGGAAACTAACGATTTTAAATTGGCTCACTACTTGATTAGCCTATTGGTCCCAAGGAAATCGATTAACGGATCCCATTCTAGTCGAAATTCTAGTACTAAACAATGTTTGTTTTGATTTGCCATGAAAGTTTGACAGATAAAATGAGGGGTTAGTGGATTTTCCTATGTTTCGAGGGGTGCATCGATTAGCTTGGGATCGAAGAGAGTACCAGAGCTGAGCCAAAAAGTTGAGCACGTTTCTTCGGGAGCTTCTAGTCTTAGAGTTACCTCTATGCTATTACCATAGAGGTAACTCTAAGACTAGAAGGTCCCGAAATAACGTGCTCAACTTTTTGGCTCAGCTCTGGTACTCTCTTCGGTCCCAAGCTAATCGATTCACCCCTCGAAACATAGAAAAAACCAATAACCCCTCATTTTATCTGTCAAACTTTCATAGCGAATCAAAACAAACATTGCGTAGTACTAGAATTTCGACTAGAATAGGGTACGTTAATCGTTTGCCTGGGACCAATAGGCTACTAAAGTGGTGAGCCAATTTAAAATCGTTAGTTTCGTATTGATTGTTGCTATTACTGTTATCGTCGATGATGCACAAAAAAAATAATGGTTTTGTAGCGAGTAAGAGCGTACTTATTACAATATCCCCCCACTAATCCGACAAACTTGATAATCTGACTGTCAAGTCCATACAAATCAAAGTTACCAATGTAAACAAAAGCTCCATAAGAGACCGTACTTTCGAATAAAGGAGAGCCGGAGTAGGGAGATACCAACCGGATTTTAAATTGGCTCACTACTTGCCTAGCCTATTGGTTCCAAGCAAATTGATTAATGTACCCCATTCTAGCCGACATTCTAGTACTACACTATTATGTTTTGATTAGTTATGAAAGTTTGACAGATTAAATGGAGGGTTCGTGAATTTTCCTATGTTTCAAGGGGTGCATTTGAAGCGCCCATACTCCGTTGCGCATCCATGTTTCACTCCCGTGTTGAAGTGCCCAACGTAGAGCAACAACTCGCGTGGTCTTTCTTTCTCCGTAAAACGAAAAACAGTGTAATTCCATTTCTACTGTATGGAAAAAGCTCTTTGATGAATCAGTTATCCTGAGGTTGGAACTGTGCTCGTCCGCACCTAGCAAACCTCGGATAATAAACTCATCAGAACAACTGCCCCGATTCTTTATTCTTCGAAACCTTTTATACATGAATTTGTTACTTAAACTCTACACAATAGTTTTTCTCCAGTATGTACATATAAAAATCAACGATACAGTGGTTCCTTTTTCTCACATGTACTTAACCATTTACTACTTATACTCTCTTTATTTCTAGAACCTTCCTCTCAATCATACCTGTATCTAGCAAGCCACAATTCTTGCCATAACTTGTATGCAACTCCTCTCTCTCTCTATGTGTACTCTCATGCTTTCAGCGGGCCAAACCGCCTCTCTTAAGTCACTTGAACCCGCCTCTTAATTCTTAGTACATAGTGTTCATTCATTAATTCATTAGCATATATTCTAGTCTCTTTCATGAGTCATGTCCCCTGTTCGAACGTCGATATACTCTGGCGTCTTCATTTGTTTATATTGATATTTAATTTTGCTACTCTGCATGGCCCTGTTATTTGTTCCCATTTGGAGCGCCACTATGAACGTTACGCTGCCCTTCAATGTTTATTTGTTTACATAACCGAATGAAAACATTTCCACCTGTTTGGCGTGTGGTGGTTATTCATTTGCTAATCTTTTCTATGCTTACGTTTACGCTGAGTCAGTGAATCTTGGGTTTACGGAAAATGGGGCGTTGCATCCCCCTATACTTATTGAGCTTGAGATTAATCTAGAAAAGATTGATCACAAAAGATTGCGCGGGAAAATAAAACCTAATTTGCCAAAGTGACTTACGTTAATTATGCGTTTAGTTGAGTTATACAATTCTTGTTGCAATTGATATTTAATGTTAACATTCTATAGAATTATTACGAATAATTCACTATAAGGATTGATGTTAGAATTTGGGGTTGTTGCACATTGATTAGCTTGGGACCGAAGGGAGTATCAGAGCTCAGCCAAAAAGTTGAGCACGTTTCTTCGGGACCTTCTGGTCTTAGAGTTACCTCTATGGAAATACTGTATACGCAGCTAGTAATGCAAAATGTACAATTTGAGGTACTAGTTTAAAGAGTACAGTGCATTAAGCTAAATATGTATTATATCATGTAATTTGACTAATTTTCAATTTCAGCAATTTACTTTACTTACCCCATAGAGAAACACGGGAAAGTAAACCTTTTTTAATTTACGGGTCAGGACAAGCCTCTGAAGGATAATCAAATTCAAGATCAAAAACTAACTGAAGAAATCTGAAGTATTTTTTATTGCCATTCGATGATACAAGAAGATGAAACTCGGTTCAATTTGTATGGATTTATTTCATTTCACCACGAAAATTATAAATTAGCTCTTTTCACATGACATTTTTGTCTGTTGTTTGACATCCACACATGGTGAAACAAAAAGTTGGTTTTCCATAGAGAAATACCGTTCCGGCGGTGAAGCACAATCCCGTCGTGTGGCGACATGTACTATTTGCAAGTGGGTACGTGAAACTAAGGTTATCTGTCATCTTGCCAGGGACTTGGGGAAAATCCGAAGAAACTTCAACTGTTTTCCGGGAAAATTATTATTTGAATTTTTGTTTCGTCCATTTGATCATAAACTCTACATATGTACGAAATTTCATAGCATTCTGAGAACCTTCGGCCCAAACCGATACTTAAAAAAATCCCCAATTGTATTTATCATCCCTGTATGCAATCATCCGAATTTACTCGTTTTATTTATTCCCTCGAAATGTACACTTTATAGGCGTTATTGAGTAATTTATAGCCTTTATTTAGTATTTATTTGCGGTTACCGTGAGATACCCCACATTTCGACCGTAAAATAACGAAAATAACAGCAACTTTACGAATGTCGACTTGCGATGTTTCGACCCTCCGGTTGAAATCCTCTCTGATGCGTAACTGTCAACCGTGCGATCACCACAGAAAAGAACAAGCAAAAGAAGCAGTAGCCATCAAAAGAAGAGAAGACTGCTCTGGTGCAAGTGGAAAAAAATAAAAATCACAAAAGTTCGTACGTGAAGTGAAAATTTTGAGCCGAAAAGTAGTGTCCCCATCGTTCCGCCCGAATCCGGCCACGCGAATGAAGAACGGATACCGTTCACAGTGTAGAAAACCCCCGATTTAGTGATTGTGACAACAGTGATATCTGGATTGCCTTTTCACTCAACACCCCCGTCTGTGCGGAGTAGATTATGGCCTTAGCAGCAGCCCGAAAGACACCATCGAAAATCTGTAAGTGCTATGTGTGGGAACTCGGAAAGGGTGGAAATAAACGAAGAAAAACTTTCCTCCCATTACCAAATAGCTATTTTTGTGGTGACCCGCGGTAAAATGCATCCGAGTGGAAATCGGTGCCGATAGCAGGAGCAACAAATTGAAGCTATGGGTCCTGAAAATGATAATTCTGGACACAGCTGAGATGAAGGTTTCAGCGCACTACGTATACGGACAACGACGACGACGGCAGCCTTCCTTACCGCGCTCGCTTCGTTGCTTCCTCCGTGGATCTCCTCTTGTTGCTCCTCCATGAGAGTTTGATCGTTCTTGCTTTTGAGCTGTGGTGCTGTGTGTGCTCGCTTGCTGATTTGCTTGTCTGCTCCGATGTGCAAGCAGTACGCAAAATAGGGAACGACGGGGTTAATCATTACGGATTGATTCGTTATTAGGGCGTACATGCTTTTGTGAACAAACAGATCCAACACCGATTTCTCGTGGATAAAAGCTCAATATCGCAAAAAATACTACCAACTACTATTTATTTCTGATGTTAGTTTCCAAGATAGAGCTTTTATTTGCAAGAAATCGGCAATTGACTTGTTTGTTTACAAAAACATGTATGGCCTAGTCATGAATCAGTCCGGAATTACGCAGAATCAAAATGCACCCACGCAAACTTACAAAACCATTCGGTGATTTAACCCTTTCCCGCCCAGAGGGTTTTGGCAAAATCAATTTAAAAAACCAGTATCTTGGGAGTATCTTGACATATTGGGACTGATTTTTTTTTTTGAGAACTAGTACAGTTTACAAAAATCGGTTGTAATTTCAAAAAGTTTTAGCTCACCATGTCAAAAAAGGCATGGTGCTCCAGAGTATCATTTACATTCATTTCATGCATTTTTTTCATCAACAGAATTCCGTAAAAAGAAGTAGGGGAAATGGCTCTAATGTTGGCTTATGGATCTAAGATTGGACCCATCGCTAAAAATCTGCTATTTATCAATTATAATGGATATTTTTGGTCGTTATTGACAATTTAGTCGATTGCTGAATTTATATATGAGCCCAAATTAGGGGCATTTAGGCCAACATTACATCCATTTCCCCTATGAAGCTTTTGTTTTTTTCTTTGGATTAAAATTTTGTCTTTTTAGGCTGTGAACCATTTGCCGAGTTTAATAATTAAACTTGTGGTTAAAAGTGACATTTCGAAAGTTATTTTCTATGTTCGAAAATCCCTGTGCTGTCGATCGACCGGTTCATGAGAAGAACTCAGCCACGGTTGTCAAAATTTAACATCTTGTCTGTCAGAAATAACTATGCTCGGATAGCAGGGTTAATCCTAGATAGAGCTGGAATTGGGGCGTAACAGCCTTTGTAAACAATGAACTTCTCTTGTTTATTTCTCCAAATTCAAGGCACGCCTACACAAACCAACGTATCCATCAGGTAAGAGAAGTCTTCCTCTACTCGATGGTGATGTCGATTTGCCAGGGAGAGCCATGACTTCCGAGAAATCAACGAGAGAAGTTATTGTTTACAAAAGCTGTTACGCCCTAATTCCAGCTCTATCTAGAATCGATAACTTTTCATCTGTCAAATTTTAACCATAAGTTAAAATAATCCATTAGAACCTTAGACAGGCTAAGACCAACGCCCTGCAATGCAATCCAGTTCTTGAAACTGCCGAAAACATCAGCAGCGCTGGTGATGCATAACATATTTAAGCTCCAACCATGTAACATTAAATGCGGCAAGGTGGCAACAAATGTAATGCCTTCAAAGCCATTCTTACTTTCCCGCAATGGACAATACAACAAGATTTAGTTGTTTTCGAATTGACGAGCACAATTTGCGTGAATCATGCTTTCCTATAACGTTATTTCAAAAACTCTATCTATTTTCCGCAACGCGGCAGGACATGCACCAAGCTTAATCATAGAGGAAAAGGATGAGCTGTCAAATTAGAAACCAGAAAAATTTGGCTTCACTCGAGTTGTTCGCAGATGACAGACGTTGCAGTCCTGTGGCTAAGACCATGACTGGTCCATCTCGCTATTTTGTAGGTTTTGATATCAGCTACAATTTTTGTGAATAACTCAAATCTGTATCTCTTAGGCATGATGAACCAGATCGAACAGAACCCACCAAAACATAAGACAAGAGCCTTGCTAAATTCTCATTCTGGACCACAATAGTGTAATAGTGTGCATTATACCAGTCATTTGCCGTTCAATTACGAACATATATAGGGTTGTTATGACAACACGGATTCCGTGATTTTTGCGATTTTCGCGGATTTGTTATCGGACTTCTTATGGCGCGGATTTGCTTATCACATATGTTCTGGTGCGAATTTGGCGTGTTTTAAATTTAAAGTTCGCGCGGTTTGATTAATATTAAGCTGTTAAGCGGTCAGTGGACTGTAACAACATTTTTTTTCTTTTGAAAAAGAAAAACTCATTTTAAAAAACTAACTTTAATGTAACCTGGGCAATGTTGCCAGTCCGGCAATAGCAAAGTGAAGAGGTGCGACGTGAACACAGGCACGGTAACCATAGTACGGTAATAGAGGAAATGCTTCACCAAACCCGAGCGTCTTTCACCATGGAGGTGCGGCTAAAAACGGCGTCTGTTCTCCATGTTAGGAGCGGTTGATCACCGTCCTAGTGCCAGCGTGGGACTCTAAACAGAGCTGTGCACGACGGTCCCGCTTCGGGACAGTGGGTTACGGCAGGGCCAACAAACCGCCCTGGAAAAAATATAAAATTGCAAATACTGAAGAAAGAAATACGGATCGCAATAATCGACACAGACCTACGCGACTGAATAAGAAATACGATTGGAAACTCGGAAGATGGAACTGCAAATCGCTCGGCATCCCGGGTTGCGATAGGTTAATCTATGACGATTTTCAACCACACAAAATCGAGAAAGGAACTTTGCTCGATGGGACAAAAGGTATGGAAAAGCGGTAATCGAGCTGCTATGGCACCACCAACGAGCTGAGAACCGGCTTTGCAGTGCTGGGTAAGATGCGCTTGATTGGTTGACAGTTGATCAACGCGAGCTGAGGATTAAGGGTCGTTTTTTCAACTACCGACGACAGGAGCTGAAGCAATGGTACGACGGCTGTTCGCAACGGGACGTCAAAATCGTCATCGGCAATATGAACGCTCAGGTAGGATGGGATGTAATGTACAGATCAGCAATCGCGCCAAACAGCCTGCCTCCCGTGGTATGGTAGCCCGAAGTCCCTTTTTTCCCCGTAAGGATATCCACAAAGCCACCTGGAAATCACCTGATCAACACACAGAAAACCAAATCGATCACGTTCTAATCGACGGGAAATTCTTCTCTGACATTATCAACGTTCGCACGTATCGCAGTGCAGACACAGAGAACAGACGTTGAAGCTCGGTCAGAAACTTGTGTAAAATAAGTGGGAACGTCACCGTTACGTGGTGTTAGCATCTCCTGATTTTCTCTCTAAATTTTCCACTTTCGACCAATTTGGCGCTAGTATCGATAAATTTTCTGTTGAAAATTGCCACTTGGCGCTACTAGCACTTAGTGTCTAGTGTAATTTGTGCAACGCCAGCGCCATCATGTTGTCAAAGAGGGTTTTTAAGTGGGGAAGTCGCCGTTAGTGGCGCTTAAGTCGAATAGGAATCTTTACACAAGTTTTTAGAGAAATTTTGTTCGAGCCTCCATGTCTGTTCTCTGTGGTGCAGATTAGGATCAGATTAGATTAGAATGCTGCAACACCGCACGAGATTGAATGTGGAGCGATACAGACAAGCGCGGGACAGACAAAACTTGGTTTTTCTAAGGAAGACCGAGTTATATGTGCAAGGACTTGGACGGCAACCTTCTCACGAACGAGTATGGGGTGATTGTAGAGGTGGAAGCAGTACTATGACGAGCACCTCAACGGTGATGCAGCAGAACACAAAGGTGGCACGGCAACAAACCTGAAAGCATGCGCAGAAGACGACAGGCTACTACTGGCCTGAACTCAAGAAGTTAAGGAGGGGATCGGTCGGTTGAAAACAACAAAACAACTGGTGTAGATCAACTACCATGTGAGCTACTAAAATACGGTGGTGAAGCACTGGCTAGAGCATTGCACTCGGTAATTGCCAAGATTTGTGAGGAGGAGATATTACCGGAGGAGTGACCGCTTGAGAGTTCGTGGGACAATACCAAGGGTGTCCGCGCTACCACGGAACAAATTTTCGCGATTCGACAGGTTCTGCAGAAATGCCGCGAACACAACGTACCCACACATCATTTGTTCATCGATTTCAAATCCGCATACGACACAATCGATCGAAATGGCAAATTATGCATGAGTACGGATTTCCGGATAAACTGATGCGATTGGTCAAGGCGACGATGGATCGAATGATGTGCGTTGTTCCAGTATCGGGACACTCGAGTCCCTATGACTTTCGTGTCTGCTATTTAACATCGCGTTAGAAGGTTGATTTTTTATTCGCTTTTATATGGTTTTCATTTATTTATTTATTTATTTATTATTCTCTTCATCGAACTTTCGTTGTCTAAATGAAGATTGATGAGGAAAAGCCTATTTGGTAAATATTTGCGCAATAGGCGTCAAAACCCCATATCTTTTCAAAATACAAGGGACAATATAAAAAGGACAGAATAACACATCAATTATAAAAATAAACACCGAATAATAATAATAATACTATGGTCTTCATCATAAAAAAAAATAGCCTCGTCCTATGGCATGGAGTTGTCCTTGCATCAGTCGAGGCCGTCATCGCAGAGTTGAGCGGGAACAAAAAAGGAAACATTTAGCAAAATTCATCAGATGTACATTAATGGACAGCTACTCACCGTCTTGCAACAATTTGCTAATTGAAAACAGTTGAATGTGTCGAACCGTATCGTCACCTATCCAGCAGACTACGTTGAATCCGTTGACGAAATGTTTCCACTGTGCAGTTGAAATCGAAAAAAAACATAGAATTCATTGAAACGGGCAGACATGAACCGTATTGGATCATGTAATCCGTAATTAGCTGCACGGGGTCCGAGATGCAGGAAACTTCTCGATCGTAGAACTCGTTCAGGTGCATAGATATCGAATTCAGCCAAAATCCCGGGAGAGTCGATTTAGCTTATCAACACTTTTGCTGCAAAAACTGCCTGGTTAATCTTCCGCCTTCGTTCAAGAGTTTAATACCCAGTAGTTGGCAACGATCTTCGTAGGGTGGAAGGTTCGTATGATCGTACCAAGGAAAGTGGCGAAGAGCGTAACGAACGAATATCCTCTGAACAGACTCGATCCTCGCTATCCAAACTGTTTCATAAGGACACCATACTACTACACCAAATTCCAAGATCGATCGCACTAGAGAACAATATAGAGCTGTCATGCAGGTAGGATCCCGAAACTCATCAGAGATCTTAAAGATGAATCCGAGTTGCCTGTTAGCTTTGGTTATGATATCCGTGTAATGTAGCTTGAATGTCAAAGCAGAATCAAGTGTAATTCCTAGATCACGAACGTTGTCCACACGCTGCAGAGGTTGGTTATCGATCGTATAATTGAATGCAATAGGTTTTAGCTTGCGATGGAAAGTGATGATATTGCATTTTTGAACATTCAACGTGAGAAAATTCCTAGAGCACCACTCTTCGAAATTATCGATCAGGTGCTGCAACCACGTACATCTTGACATCGTCTGCATAGAATGACCGGCAGCCAGTTGGAAGTATCAAACCGATTTCGTTAATGAATATGGAGAATAGCAGCGGTCCCAATTGCTGCCTTGAGGAACGCCTGAGTTGTTTGAAAAATATTCCGATTGATCAGACCCGATTTTCACACAAAGCTCTCGATTGGTAAGATACGATTCAAACCAACGAGTGAGTCCATGAGAAACACCAAGCTTCTCGAGTTTGGCAATTCGAATGGCATGATCAACCCGGTCGAAAGCAGCCTTGAGATCCGTGTATACGACGTCCACCTGTGCCCCTGCCTCCATATTCCGTAGGCATAGGGAAATGAAAGGAGCGAGGTTTGTTGAGACCGAACGTTTGGGGTGGAAACCATGTTGGTCAGGAGAAATGTAGTTTCTACAGCTGGCAAATAAAGCGTCGTTGATGATTATCTCAACGGCGCCGGTGGTGTAGTGGTAAGCGTGATTACCTCTCACCCCAGCAGGCCTGGGTTCAATCCCAGTCGGCGCCGCCGGGATGTTCTGAGGTCCCCGGTTCATGAGTTGTGATGGGTCGATAGGTAGGGTCCAGGTGTGGGAGCTGCCTTCCTGGCGCGTCGGTAGCATTGGTGCTCAGCACGGAAAACAAGATCGACGGAAAACAAACCAAAGGAAAAAAAATGATTATCTCGAATACTTTCTAGCAGGCACAAAGTGTCCTCAGTAATTCTCCACATTTTGTTTGTCTCCTTTCTTGAAAATTGGGAACATGAACGAAGATTTCCAACGAGAGGGAAATACACCTTGTTGTAACGAAATATTGAACAGCTTTGAAAGCGGAGAGGAAGCTCTGTTGAGCATCTTTTGAGTATGGACGATGGAATGCCGTCAGGCCCAACAGCGCTCGAGAATTTCAGCTTCTGGATGGCAGAGTCGACGAGGTCCAATATGACCGTGAAAATATCAAAGCTGAACGCGTCACTGAGAGTATCTCTGATCCCTTCAGCAACTTGACTTAACGATGCCGTTGAATCGTTGAAAACACTCTTGAAATGCTCAGCCAAGAGGTTACATTTCTCTAAAGAAGTGTTGGCTCTTTTATCGCTTAGATGAATCTCAACCGGTAGCCCATCCTCTTTCCTTTTTGTCTTCACAAACGTCCAGAATACCTTAGGATTACGCCGGAGATTGGTCTGCATACGTCTTGAGTACTTCTTGTATAGAAAACGGTTGTACATTCGGTAGCAATTACTTGCTAACGAAAATAATCGCTTGGTGAATGGATAACGGGACTGGCTGTATTTTCGAAGAGCCTTCGATCTCACACGCTTCAAGTGTTGTAATCGAGCATTGGACCATGCAGGTTTTGGAGCAGGTCTCCTCAGAGGCACACAATCCATTATTAATCGGCTAACAACTTCGTCGAAATAGTTAACGGCTTCATCAGTGGACGAACACAAGTCAAGCGACTGCTAATCTACCTGGGCCAGTGAGTGATTCAATGCGACGTAGTCAGTTCTACGAAAGTCCAGGCTTTGTACATCAACGGTGTTTTCTTAGAGAACAGGAACTGATCGATTGATAAATGCTTCCAACGCTGGATGATCGGCGTCTAGATGTATCAGAGGCTCAGATGCCTCAGCGACACTGCACTCTAGTGCGGCGGCTTCGTTCACCAACACAAGATCAAGCAGCCGAGAGTTTCTGTTTGGTACACCAAACAGTAAACCATCCAAAAGAGCACAGCAGGAAGCAGGCATGTACGACCGAAGAATGTCAATGGTTGGATGATCATTCGCGGAAATATTCCAAACAAGCCCAGACTGGTTACAGTCGCCAAATAGCAGAGCTAGATCGTTGTGATGTAATCGGGACAATACAGCACCAATGGAACTGATATAGGTTCTCAACGCAGCTCAAATTAGATTTACGGTCAGGAGGAAGGTACATAACGCCGATGCTTATCATGTTGTGTGACGTCGTAATCTTCACCCATAACTGCTCAAGAGAAGTACTAACCGGAGCAGGATCGAGGCAACAGTTCAGTCGTTTGGAAACCGCAATCAAGACGCCACCACCGCGTGATTTGGCACTGTTCATCCGGTTACGGTCATTACGAAAAACTGAGAACCTACTGCCAAATAATTGTGCTGAGTGAATTCGATCATCTAGCCAGGTCTCGGTAAGAACTATTGCATCGTAGTTGGACTCAACAGCAGTCAAGAATAAGTCGTCAATTTTAGTTCGCAAGCCACGAACATTTTGATAATACACCACAAGTCCATCGGATAACATAGGTTGGCAATCGGAAAGGCAAGGTTCAGTCGGTGGTGAAGAAGACGTTGCGCTGACACGTGGAGGCTGATCAGGCGAGGAATTGGTTTCAATAAACGCATACTTGCCTGAAATCGAAGGTTGGAAGACCCCTTCACCGTTCTCAACCACAGGGCCAGAACGACTACGATGGCAGGAATCAGTACACACGACTGCGTTGAGAGGCTTAGGGGCTTCCATAGTTTTTAGACAGAGAACGCAATATGTTTTTATATTTTTCCTTGAAAATTTAGGCTTAATTTTAAAAATAATTCCTGATTATCCTGCTATCTTGCGATATGATAAGAGACATGATTTAATATGTGGACTAATTCAAGATCTTCAGAATAAAACATGATCAACCCAAAGTCTTCACAAAATATCTAAAGGACTTTATCTAGGTATTTGAACAACTAAAAGTCTGTGAAAAGATTGCCAAGTATATCTAACGTTTTAATCGATGGATGACTGTACTAGCGGTGGTAGAAGTTTGAAAATTATGAATTAAATTATAATTATAATAAATTAGAAATTATATATTTTTTTCTGGTAAGAGCGGAAAAAAAATCGAGGAAATATTTTCAGCACAGGAGCCTACAACTTTGCTGCAAAATTCGCAATATGCTTAGTAGGCATTTTGCATGCAAACTGAACCTTTTCAACGTAGGATAATTAGTTAATGACGGTTTTTAAGCGGACCAAAGGCGTAGTACTGCTACCCAAGTCTCCTCTAGCAATTAAATTAAGGATCCAAACCTCGAGACTCAGTTGAATGACTCGCAAAAGACATGCTCCGTGTCAATAACGTTGTCGAGAGACGACGTAAACAAGGTTACAACAACGTCCCGCAGTTCCAAATTAGGCACATGGACCGAGGCCGGTCACCATACCACCGTCAGCCGATATGTACTGGAGGCGGAAAGTGGAAGCGCAGAAGGGTTGCGATTGGTGGGATGAAATGACGGACTCTGCTCCGCTGCGCTGCGCTAATGTCGACAGCAAAGGCAAAGAACAAAGCGTAGTTTGTCGCGGTGGGCCGGTGTGCTATAACGTTTGTAAAGCGAGAAAATTGATCTCCTTCCAATGAATGCAGCATCTCTCGTTGCGCTGCGTTGCATGGTAATGGGGATTCGGAATGGAAATATTTTAACAATTGTTTGTAGCTAGAAGCGATGCAGCGTGCAAAAATAACCATCGGTGTTTCGATAACTGACAGGGAAAAGACGTTTGACACAAGTATTTTTCTCTCTCTCTTCTAGATGACATTCAAGCACACAGCAGCAAAGTATCATGTTTGGATATTGGAGTTACAGGACGGGTGCTGGTCACCGGCGGTCAGGACCGCAATGTGAATCTGTGGACATTTGGAAGCAAGGAGTGCTTCATGGTTAGTATGCTCATAGTTTTGTACCATTTTATTAGCAAGTGTGTAATGATTATGACTTTTTTTTTCAGACCTTAACGGGCCACAATGCTCCAGTCGATTGCGTCAAATTTGCATACTCGGATGATTATGTGTACTCGGCCGATGATACTGGTGTGATTAAACGATGGGATTTGAACTCGGGCACGGAATGTACGACATTTTTCGGACACATGAAAACGGTCCGCACGTTGGACTTTCATCCCTACAGCGAATATGTGGTATCCGGTAGTCACGATACCTCCATTCGCCTGTGGGATGTCCGACAAAATACCTGCATCAAACGATACCGGAGGCACATGTCGCACGTGAATTCGGTCAAATTTTCCCCTGATGGGCTGTGGATCGCCTCGGCTGGTACTGAGGGATGTGTCATAATCTGGGATATCCGGATGAGCAAGCATTTTATGGAGTTTACTGAGAGAGAATCGCCGGCGATTTGTGTTCAGTATCATCCATCAGATCTGCTGATGGCTGCTGGAAGGAACGATGGAACGGTTGATTTGTATGATCTGGAAAAGAAGCAGCTTCTTTCAAGAGCTGACAAGACCCGCTCCAAGGGACATCCGGTGAAATGCATCTCGTTCGACGAGGGTGGGTCTTGCCTGTTTGTTGGTACAGCTGGTGGTATTTCTGTGATTGGCTGGGAGCCCGATCAGGAGTATGATCACGTGGATTCGACATGGACATTTTTGGGAGATATGATAGCTGTTGGGAAGAAGCTAATTTGTGGAACTTACGAGAATAGAAACGTTTCGATCCATGCATTAAATCTTACTCAGGTGAAGCCATTCTTCAATCCTCAGAATCAGCCTTTCAATCACCATCAAAGTTCAAGGAAGAGTTTTAGTCGTGGAAGCGGAAAGGTTCGATTATCTATTGGAGATCGGTCCCTCTCGAGCGATACCATAGAAGAACATACCAATGGAGGGATGTCTCCGAACCTCAGCATAGAAATGATCGACGAGGAAGGTTCTTCGGTGCTGACGGAAAAAAACACTTTCGATTTTAGCCATAGTAACGGAAGCGGTACTGTTAGCTACGAAACCTTCACGCCACCTTCCTCCGCAATTCCTGTGGCAACAGTTACACCTCCGTCAGGTCCTCTATCCAATAGCAACTATCAGGTCAGAGATGAGATGAGAATGTACAACATCAGCACCTCGACTGGCTATTCCAGTGATCTGGATTACTACCCCTGCAAGAACAACCCTTCCGATGCGGAGAAAGAAGACTTCCCGGTGAAAAGTGCTCAAGCCCCGGACTACGCACCAAAGTTGACAACCTCCAGTACAGCCAGTGGTGGCGGCAGCAGCAGCAGCAGCACGACTATGACGAAAACCACTTTCGTTAGACAAAAGACGGATTCGATCAGTAACAGCAGCGTGCAGCAGAGACGACCTTCGCAGCCTAATCTTGCCGCCTCTAGGAATACGTTTGGGTCCAGCAATTTGACCAGGAAAATATCAACCTCCAGGAGTACGCTTGAGCTCAACAAGCTCGGGCAAGATGAGCAGGTAAGGCGATTGGATTGGCTAAGCACGGGGTTGTCGGTGTGCTTTCAGTGCACATCAATTTTGCTCGTTAGAATGGCAAACTTCCTTTCAATGTCTAAACCCAGCTTTAAGAGAAGATTATTTTGTTTTCTGAATACTTCTAGTTATTGTTCATTATTGTGTTCTTAACAGATGGATTAGCTCAGAGAACTAACTAAATGTTAACCTAGAGGATAATTATCATACTTGGGAGGATTTTTTCTATTGCTTGGAGTAGCACTTTTTTGAATGACTAATTATTCAAATATACGTAGACAAGCATTGCATTGGCAGCATAGAGAGGCTTTATTGAGTATTCATGGTCTTCATTGTAAACCTAGTTAGATGGTAAAATTTGCTTCTCAGTGAAGTTTTAATATTGTAGTGTTGCTGCTATTGCAATTTAGATGGAATTAACTTACCAGATGAATCCGCCCGCGAATTAGCTTTTGGTTAAGCGTATAATCCGGAATAATTTTCTTGTCGAGCAAATTTTAGAATGAATTCTAGAGATAACACAAAGGTATTTCAGAGAATACTTTCTGGGGAGCTTTAGGAAAGTATCTAGGAGAGTTTTTTTTCTAGAACTTCCAAGAGTGTTCCAGTATTCGAGAAAAGGTACAATTCCAAAATAATTCTGCGAAGATCTTTAAGGAAATTCCGAGGATAATTCCAAGCGCATTTCGAATGGTATTTCTAGAGAATTTTTATGAGGTGTTGAATACTTGGCACTGATGAAGTCTGCAAGTAGTAGAAGAAATACGCGTATCTGTTAAAAGATAAGCAATTATAACGGAATTAAAAGGAAATAAACCAACACACTCAAAGCTCTTCATAAAGGGATTCCGTTAAGAGGTTCGACAAAATTAAAAGTTTGAGAAATCCATGCAAATTCCAGAAGAATTTGGAGGGAACTCCATCATAATTCTGAGCAAAATTTGAAAACAATTCGCGACGGAAGAATTTCCCCCAAATAAACACTTTTCAATTGTTAGTCGAGAATCATGGGAATTCTACGGAAAAAAAAATTGAAGCTCTAGTTTAAAATTCTAAGGAAATCTGAGGACGAATTTTAATAACTTTTAACATGATTCTATCAGTGTTCACTCGGCTGTCGACAAAAGCAGGCCACTCTCGATGTGTGCTACGCGATCGTCTGTTTTCTCGGCAGCAACCATTGTGTGGTTCTCCTCATTGTTCTTCATCAGCAGTTCTTTCGGTCGATGCGTCGTCGACTTTGGAAAGCAACCGTTTCGTGATGAGTGTGTGAGTGCTGACCACGTTTTGCGTCCATTGCTGCAATGGACGCACTCTGACCCTCGTTGGCGTACAACAATTTGCCATACAATGAAACTACTGGAAGCGGCTCTATTTCTGATGGAGGATGCTTTTTGGATAGCGGAAGATAAAGTGTTTATTGTGTTGTACCTTTTGACTATAGTTTTAAGATGTATTGTATAGTGACCAAGAATCCTCGGCTCTGTAAAGTTAATTCGGTTGAGCCTTATCAAATAAATCAATAAACAAAAAAAAAAAAAAAAAATGATTCTAAGTTCTCGTCTGACAAAGATGAACGAGAATAAGAACAACCTGCGGGCTGGATGCGAGGACTATTTCTAAACTCGTTGCGGGCCGCACAAAATGAGGCAGGCCTGGTTTAACATCTTGCTCCAAAAAGCATTGCCATTGGAGTCATCTTCAGCGAATCAAAACACATAAAGTAACTAGCGATACCGACAAAACGCTTACTACTACTGCTACGATAAACTCTCTCTGTAATACAGCTTGATCGGAGTTGTAGAAGGATAATGATATATTGCTTGCCTGCTTTGTTGCAGGTTGGTTAAAAATTCTCATTAACACACATGTATCATCTTTGACTTTACTTCGTGAAGCAGTTTGCCAACAATTTGGTAGTTTCATTCTACCGCCCCGAGCGAGCTATATTTCAAAGGCAGTTTGTCATGAAAAAAAAAGAAGAAGATTTTATCATTATTGCTTTCCATTTCTGACAAAACGTTTCGTTCGGCTCGTTGATCGCTTGTCATTTTGTCATTTTGAGATACGTTTGACTCCTTGATCATCTTTGTTTTTTAACAAACGAATTCCACTAAGGTGGTTCTTCTCCAAAAATAAGTCTGTTAGGGCATCTAGTTATTTGATTTTTTTTTATTTGTCTAATTGCTTAAACTGAAAAGAGACATTTGTGTCAAGAGGTACTAATCCCCACGTACATAGATGTTTTAATGTATTCATCAGGTCTAAAATAACTTTTAATTTACCCATGCAGGTCACCTTCAAGAAGCCGATCAGCCGTGGCAGCTCGCCGATCCGGAACAATACCGCCCTCAGCAGCAAGATCCGCAAGAGCGAAAGCTCTGCACAAATCAACAACATGAAGAATGCCACCAATCGCTACAGTGCCCATCACAATGCCAACGTAAAGGTCGAGATCGTAACGAAACCGGTCCGTTCGAAAACATCGCTGGATATGCGCCAGCGGAACAACGCCAACGGTGAGCACCAGAACAGTAGCAGCGCTACCATGAGCCGAGCCGGCATCATTCAGCATAACAATAGCAACAGCCACAACAACGGTCACTACTCCGGAGGTCATAGTCTAACTCACATAGGGATCAACGATTCCGGAGGTGGTGGAATGGGACGAGATTCGATTCTGATGCCACCTCCGTCGGTTCCACCTCCGTCTTCGATCCCCACGCATCACAGCATCCCCCTCATTCGGTACTCGTCGCACGATGGCGGGGGCGCTAACATCAGCGTCGTCGGCGCAGGAATGACCTCCAGCGAGGAGTACGAAATCCAGCTTCTTATGAACGAACACGATAGCGTCTTCCAAGCTCTCTGCAATCGAACGGCACTGCTTTCGGCGATCCGAAACTATACGCAATCGGGAGATGTAAACACGGCACTCAAGGTGGCGGTACGGATGAACGATCAGCATATTCTGGTTGATTTGCTAGGGGCGATACTTGAAAAAAGGTAAAGTATGCCAGCTCACAATTGAGAGCATATCTATACAATAATTCATCTTTCTTTGCAGCTCACACTTCACGTTAGACATGTGTGTTCTGCTACTGCCAAAAATCTACGACCTGCTGCAGAGTGAATTCAAATTGTAAGTACCCTTGATGTCACTCTCCATTCAAATCGGAGGGGAGGTCTATCAATTTGATTGCTTTTTACGAAAAGGAGATGAAGTCTACTTCAGCTAATTATCTTGTCATTTGTTTTGCGTTCGGATCCGCGTAAGCGCATTTAGGACAGATTTACATTTGATCACAGCAAAAAGGGGTTTATTTGAATATTGCTTCAGTTTGCTGCGCGTGTGGCAGATGTTAACTCGACAAACTTTTGAGATGCAGAAATGTGTTTTTTTTAAGTGCTAGAACAAAAGATGATCCACATATTGTCTAAAATTATCGAATCCATCAAATAAGTTTTTGTTTAAAATCAATAGCATTTTAATTGTTTTTCGATGGTTGCTCAGTTGAAGTCTGAATCATATATATGGACGAGAAAAATGAGCACACGGGAAGCTGTAAGTACTGACTATTTAATGGTAGATTGACGAACATGAGACAAACTAAAATGTTGTGGATCAGCTGTGCTACCATGTGAAGTGGTTTCTTTGCTTGATCTCCTATCCAAACTAGGTGGCGCAGAAGACCACAGGACGGCCCATAAAGAAATAAATCTCGTTCCATTTTTAAATAGGCCAATAATTTATTTTTCGTAAAAATAACTCGGTTACAAAAACGTCAATATTTCCCAGACTGATTTTAACCTAACACTACTCCAACAATCAGCAATGCGCTACAAACATTTGATAGTCTGATAGAAGAATAGAAATCTATTGCACACTATTGTTAAATGTCGCATTTCCGGCATTTTAGTTCTTCCAAATTCCAATTCACAAATTCACAGTAGAGACAAGGAAGAGGAGCTTTTTTAGGAATAGCTAAAGGTAGAAGTGAATTGCGACTACGTCGGAAGTATTAAAAATTGTATTCCTTGTATTTTGACTGTTCATCAGTTTATATACACAGTTTATATACACTTTATATACACTGAATTTTTAGACCGCATACCAAACAAATAATCCAATTATGCCATCCAAAAGCACACACACCGACAGTACGGTAACCTGCAGACGCAGATTGCCTTAAATAGTGATTTTTACCTTCGTTACAAGTGAGGGCACGGTTATTAATTCCCGCTGTACGTCGAGACGGATTCAGGGGCAAACGAGGAGTGAGCCCAACGTGGAAAACAAGAAGAGCTGCTGACTACCAAACACCTATCTTTACTTGCCCACCAGCCATGTCGCTGGATGTGGGCTTTCCCCCTCTACCGGGTGACCCTGGAGGAGGACCCTCTAACCTAATTGATGGATCACCCGCTGGTCCTACTCTGCCATCTTCATGGACCCACAAGGCCTGTACAGAGAGCTTGTTGTTCTCAGGATGGAAGCAGCATCGGACGCACAAAAACTTCCAGAACATCCCTTCCTAATCCGTGCTCCGATCGAGTCATGGATCAAAGGAAAAATCGACGGCGCTACCTCTGAGGCCAGAGGAAAGTCATACGCATTCAAAGTACGTTCCAAATGGCAAATGGACCGGCTCCTTGAGATGACCCAACTACTCGATGGCAAGGAAATAAAAATTACCAAGCATGTCAACCTCAATGCTGTTCGATGCGTGATTAGTTGTCAGGATATGGCGAAGGTAAAAGATGAGGAGGTTTTAGAGTATCTGAAAACACGAAACATCTCACAAATCCGGAGGAAAGCAGCCAGCGGAAACGATCGAGTGAATACAGCTACAGTAATTCTCACTGTAAATAGTACTAGGGTCCTCGAATACATCGATGTCGGTTATCACCGATGCAAAACTCGACCTTATTACCCGGCACCGATGTTATGTTACCGTTGTTTCAGCTTTGGGCATACCAAATCGAGATGCCAACAGCCAACCCAAACTTGTGGACAATGCTCCCAGCAACATGTCGAAGGTCTCCGATGCTTGAACCCTCCTTTCTGCACTAGATGCAACACTAATAGCCATGCGATCGCGAGTCGAAGTTGTCCGATTTACCAAACGGAAGATGCCATTAGGGTTGACAAGGGCATCCCCTACCCTGCCGCTAGGAAAATGTTTGAGGCAGCTACTGGAAATAAGTCCTTTGTTAAATCATGGGTTTAATGCCAAGCTCTCCGTCATGACTCTTAAAATTCATGATCTCTAAACAAAATGAATATGTTCTTTCGATAGCCGGCTATCGAGAGATTAAATAAACAACAAATAAACAATACATACTTTTGGTTGCATCGCCAACTTGAGGTGAATCCTAACCGAATACCCTACCCAACCCTCCAACTCCGTAGCACTTATGAGGGTGTCGCTAAGTCGGTGGCCTCTCGTTAAGTAAGTACTACATCAACATTTCCTTCCCTATCCCTAGTTATGGTAAAGATGGGCGTGGCCGGGAATAGCGACAGTCATGCTTCTGTAACTCTTGTTTAGATTGGAACCAATGTTTACTCCTCAGCATTATTCCTGAAAGTAGTCTAACTGAGAATTTCAGAAGAGACGTGAGTGTCGCTAGTATCCAATCTACGAAGTATATCATAACAACGCTAACGCTACTGGAAATAAGTCCTTTGCCGGTGTTCTTAACGCTAGCAAGGACCAAGCGATTGCCGACTTATCCGCCAAACTCGACAATGTCACACGTGAACTCACTGAGAAAGATCGCAAGAATGAGGCCCTGGAGCTAAAACTGAATGAAGGCTCAACCACCACTAACGTTGACGTCATCAACGAGCTGCGACAAGCAATCGTTGACCTTCGCATAGAACTACAAAGGAAAGATTATCGAATCGAGGCTCTAGAGACAGCAGACTAGACTATCCAAGTACAACACCTCCAAGAAACCGTCGCCAAAAAAGATAGGGAGATCTTCCTGCTTCGCTCCGTAAACAGTACCAAGAAACCAGTTACCCCATCTGACGCACAAACACAAAGCAGAGATGATAAGCAACAACAGTTACCGAAAAACCCAGCAAAAACAAAACCGCATCAGCTAGAATCTACGCAAACAACTCCGGATCAGCCAAAACTGGACTCAAAACAAAACACAAAACTCTCTCAGAATACAGGAGCCAAAAAGAAATCAATCAGAAAACAGCATAGCATCGACCTCGTAACCAAACGAATCAAGGGAAATAACTCTACTCCGACCATCTCAGACTCAGAAGAAAACCATGAAGATATCACTGACTCTCCATCAGCATCCATGGACTTCACAGTCTCGTCTGATGATGATATGCGGGGCAGTCAGGATCCACTGATGGAACCATAAACCCAACTGCCATCCAGTCCTCCCCTACACCAGCGCAAAGAAAGCCGCATTCTTTTTCAAATCAATGGACTCGTCACCCATTCGAACAGTGATGAAACTGAAGCTACTAAGGAGGACTCTAGTCAAAACCATGACCATACAACCAGCTCGCCAATCATTGTCTCTCTACCAAACACCCCTACCATACCAGATAAGGCCTCGGGCAGTCGGGGCCCTGTCAGTGCGGACGTCAATGTAGAACCGGAACTGGCAGACAACCCCCGGCACTCGTTGGTAAACTCTGGAAATCAAAACAAACGATTTGTATCGACTTATCCGGTTGGATCGTGGGGAAGCAGTGCCCCGGTCGGTGCGGACGTCATTCAAGAACCAGAACCGGCGGACAACCCTCGGCTCCCTGCGAGAATCAAATTGTTACCTGTGACCCTCCAAAGTCCAAATTGGATACCTTAGCATAAAAAATTAAGCAATGACACCGATAATGACCATGCACCAGAACCCTAGTCTTAACCACTTAAAACTAGGCAACAACGAATAGAAGATTAGGAATCATATAGGCGAAGACTAACTCATTATTGCCTTGTTTCAAGATCATCCTCGGTCCAGGTAACCCGAGGACTTATCACTATTAACAAGGCATAACAAGTAACAAGGATTGAGATGTGTTCCTTTGATTACTGGAAAATCCTGTTCCCTTAGTTTCAAGTAGGCAGGACTAGGAATTGGTGGTAGAACTTGCATCCCGTAATGTACCACGAAAAGGCGATCTACCATGACCATGGTCGGCGTAGGGCGAGAAAGAGGTACAAATTCACTCATAATGTCGCAAATCATTTGGTTGAAGTAATGAACCTGTCATTAGCAGGTATGTTTTCTGAAAACCGGTTTTTCGGTAAAAATAAATTTATTATTAATCTCTGTTCAGCAGTCTTCACGAAAACCTACCATTGTTGAGCTTGTGCACAAAGATCAAAGCGAATGTTCAGCTTGAACTTACGCGCTAAAAGGTAAATGCTTCGAACGAATTGGAAGAATGGTTTGTGTATTTGCTTATTTCTCTATGCGTTACTTGCACCTTCGCTCGAGCGCAGCGCTACTGTATCTGTCGCTTGGATTCTGGCAGAGTTGCCAGTCTTCTGGATTTGATGTCTTCGGTTAAAGGCATATAAGAAGCGCTCATAGTAGGTAAAGGAACTAATTCGTCTGCCCTTTACGCAAGCCGTCTCCCATATGAGCACAAGCGCATGAGTTTGCACAGTGGTACTGAGCGCAAGGCTACGTCACTAGTGAGAGCGAGTGTCCGTGACGCGTCGAAATTAGGTGCAAGGCCAAGAAGAACGGTGGAAGGTGGCCCAAGGCTACGCCACCAATAAAAGTGTTTGTCCGAGGCACGAAGAAAAGTGACGCCATTTTGGCTGAAATCAAAATCAAAACAGTGTGAGCACGTTTCGTGAGAACAAAATCGCCATTTTGTTGGCTAGTGAAAACAACGTCGCAATCGAACGATGTAAACAATAATAGAACCTGCAAACAAAAAGAAAATTAACAGTGCGTTAGTGCAATTCATATTGCCGTCGGAAAAAACAAAAACAGTACGCGAATGTCCCATTAGGAAACTCCGCGTGGAAACGTTTCGGGAGTATCTCGCCGGAATATTTTGGATGCTCTAACGGGGAGCAGCAGCAAAAATCTACTGCAGACGGTTGCCGATCAGAAAACGGCGAAGAAGAAGAAAGAAGAGAATAGCATCAT